TAGCAGCTAACTATTATATCTATGTCATCTAGAGTCACTAGCGTTTACAAACCTAAGGATGAAAGTATTTGTTTTGGTACAAGTTTTACAATAGTTGAAAAAAAATTATACCATCCATCAGGAGAGAATGAGCGGTGTTAAATAAATAAGTTTTACCATGGTTGAAAAATTATATCATCCAACAAGAAAGAATGAGTGGTGTTAAATAAATAGGCCACAATAACCTCACACAAAAACGAAGAATCTATATCTCTAATAAAGCAAAACCTCACCAGAAGCTTTATCTCACACCACAGCGTTCCACGTCATCATGTAGTCTAAACTGTCCAATTCTTTCTTCATGTCATTAAGATTTTTTAGTGATCTGATTTTCCTTTTCTTGGTCTGGGGTCGTCCACTAATACGGTCATACCAGCCCTCCGACTGAAACAGAAACGAACAGGTTCCATCATGCATTCAAGTTGGATTCATGAATGTACTACTAGACCATCAATTTCCTTCCCCATCAATTCCTGTCCTTTCAAACGTGAAACCTCCGAGAGCATGTCTTCTCGACTCCTCCACTGCCATGGAAATCACACTCCACCAAGGCACAAGCAGCATGACATTATTCAGGGCATCTCTTCGCGTGCTCATTCAAGCAAATGAAAAGACGAGGCTACACTCAACTCCCTCTTGCTGAATGTCTCCAACTCTCCTATATGTAGCAGGATATCGACTCCTCCCATTTTCTGGTGTGCTCCGCTCGTTCCACAAAGCTTGGGGATAAGAACAGGAGAACAGAAAAGAAAAACAAAGGCAAAGCTGGTGACCAAGACCTGGATTAGGCTAGCCAACCACGGAAGAAGATATGCCTCCTCCTTCGAGATGGGTTGCATGCTGGTGTTAGAAGGTGTTTTGCTGGGTTCCTCTTACTATCCCAGATCTTGACATCATTGCGGTTCAAAAACCATCTTCACTGTCGGATTTTGAACCGGCAGTGACATACCAGTAGTGATGTGGGATTAATATCACTATCGGTTCTTATGAACCGACAATGATGTGATTTTCATGAAATCCAAAAAATAGGCTGAAAAAATAAAAAAATTAATTCTGGGAAAACGTAAGCTTCATGGCCACCGACGCTCAAACCCCGACCTCTTGCTTCATCTTCAGACCTTAACCACTCCACCGCAAGCTGTTTATGTCCAAATGAAATTTTCGTCCTAGTTATTTTATGTTTATCTGATTTTAAAATAAGTATTTGGAGCCCTAAACGAATTCAAATAAAAAGTTGCCAACTACAGAGTTTTATAACTTTTCGAGATCTATAACTTTCATTTTGGTAGTTTCTCCATACGAGGTCGTTTATAAAATTTGAATTTCAAATTTGAGAAATTCAAACGTAGTTTTCCATGACAAGATTAATTCAAATCAAAATGTTTTCAACTACAAAGTTTCATAACTTTTGAGATCTAAAACTTTTGTTTTTTGCTGTTTGTTCATCTGAGGTCATTTAAAAATTCAAATTTCAAAATTTTGAAAATTCAAACGTAGTTTTTCTTGAAAAGATGAATTCAAATAAAAAAAAGTTGTCAACTACAAAGTTTCATAACTTTTTGGGATCTACAACTTTCATTTTGGTAGTTTCTCCATCCGAGGTCGTTTACAAAATTTGAATTTCAAATTTTAGAAATTCAAACGTAGTTTTCCTTGACAAGATGATTTCAAATCAAAAGTTGTCCACTACAGATTTTCATAACTTTCCGACATAGTGGTAGTAACATTATTCACAAATATTACATATCCTAGGGATATGTAATATTTATGAACAATATTACTACCACTTTATCGAATGATGAAGAAATGACCAAAATAAAATTTATAGATCTTGATAAGTTCTACAACTTCTATGTTCATGACTTTTCAATTTGAAATCATTTAGTGTTCTAAAATGACGTTTGGAGTTGCCATTCTTTTAAATTCAAAATTCAAATAGATAAAACATAGTCACATGAAAAGATGGATAAAATAATAGCTGTAAGAACACAATAAATTGATAGAGCATGATTTTAGAATTTTTTAGGAAAAAAATCATCAAATTTGAAGTTAGCATAAGGGAAAAAGACTAGTTACAAATTTTAGCCAGAGATTAAAAAGAGAAATCAGAGTTCTTCAATAATTTCAAATTTTAATTTCAAACGAAAAAGTAGTAAATAATTTTAAATGAAAAAGTTGTTAACTACAAAATTGCATAACTTTTCGAGATCTACAACTTTTGTTTTGGGCGTTTCTCTATCCGATGTCGTTTGAAAAATTTAAATTTTAAATTTTAGAAATCAAACGTAATTTTGGTTAGATAGATGATTTCAATGAAAATATTTGGACATCCAAACAATCTCAAATTAAAAAAGTTTGAACTACAAAGTTCCTCTCTCTCGGTTTTGCACCGTATGTATTATTTGTATGTATTAAACTATTCCTTTTATCGGCACCTATGTAGTGACTTAAGGTAACTGATTGATAATGTGTTGTTGGAGAATTGCTATTTTATTTTTCTTAAAAAAATAGGTTCAACTTTATATTGTGCTCTAAGCATTTTTTTATATGGTTCCACCATTTTTTTTGTTCGTATTTGGAAGTTATGGATTAATCATTGATGGTCTTCATGGTGGGATTTCCATTCAGATTGATTAACTGACTGTAGTTGTTTATTCCACTCCTGTGTTGCAGGTTTTGAGAGAGCTCTTCTCGAGTCAATGTGTTGTCACCGAATCGATCATTTTAGTGTAGTAGAAGAACTGAAGAAGCCACTCCCCAGATTTTTTTGTTAATATGCACTACTGATTTTTTCAAACATTCACAGATTTTTGATTGATCTTGTATTTTCCATTTTCTATGTCTTTACAATTTACAAATTTATGGATTTTCTTAACTAATCCTTTTTTTATCTTAATTCAGTTTAGATGGCAGCACCTATATTTCTTCAAACCTTTAGTGTTTATTGATTATTCTATGTTTTTCTACAAAACATTTAGAACATTGACTGCGGCCTGCGGGTCACTCAATATTATTGATAGGTAATGAGACGTTAGTTCTTCTCCAACGTGTGTGCATGTTGCGTAATGACCCTCCTACTAATTTTTTTTAATCTCTTCATACAAGCTATACAGACAATCCAAACTAAGTGCAATTACTATATTTTTTCCAATAAAAATACAAGGCATATAGGCCCTGTTCATTGGTGCTGAATCTTGGCTGAAACTGGCTGAAAAACACTGTTACGGCTGAATTGTTTGAGAGAAAAAAAATACTGTTCGACTAAAAAACAAGCTGAATATTGGGTAAGCGAGCGTGGCCATAATATAATATTTGTTTTAACGTTCCATCATCTTATAATATGCTATTCTTTTTTATTAGATTCATTTGTTACCTTATCTTACTTTGACTAGAATTGATGCAAGAATATATAAATCAAACTAATAAGAACATCCCGTGGCAACGCGCCGGGTATCCTTCTAGTAATATATATACATCATTCAAATCCGTCGTGAAATCATAAACCCTTAGCTTCTGACACTTGGACAAAGCACCACCAAGAACTCATCGTGCATGTGCTTCATACGTGAAACAAGACCGTAGGATGCATCATGTGTGGAGCGTGGACGCCGAAGCTACATGTATGATGTACTATCTCTCACCTCTTGTGGTGTGACCGTTTTTTTAATGCTGCAAAACATCATAGATTTCAGTACAACTCACGCGCATCACATTTCTTCGAATTAAAGCACTTAAATATCATATATCATCTCATTTCTCTTCCATATCTTAGTGTAGTATATGTTTGGCAGCGCATACATGTTATCGGTTATATGCGAGATATTAGAGACAAACAAATCATGCCAGCAGCGATGGATTTTCAGTTGTCTGTCATCAATGCTAAGTTAGATACATAAAATAAAACTATATAACAACTACCATGGACACAAATAGAGGATTTCAGCTAGTTTTCAACAGCTACCTATTAGCTCTGAGTCATCCAGGTCTAGCTGCTATTGTTTAGCGATTCTAAAGAAGAAATTTTATGTTTTTATACAAGTTTTATAGTGGTTGAAAAAAGTATAGCTCATCCATCATAACAGAACAACTGGTGGAAAATACGAGGAATTCAATAAAAAGTATAATAAAGTACTAAATAGGTAGGGTCAATAACAAAAGAGTGCAACCAATACCCATATTATTTTTATTTTTTTATTTAAATAAAGAGTAAATTGGTGATCTGATCATACTTTATGGTCCCCAATCAGTAGTTAATGTGAATGATGTTGGAGTTGTTCCAAATTCACTCCAGATATAGGCCGGGCTTGGCGGAGCGAAGCGGAGCCCGTCGCGGAGGCTTGGGCAGGCGTAGCCCCCCACCTTCTCTTGTCACGTATAGGCTCGGGGGTGCGGGGCGAAGCCCCGTGATCTGTCTGAGGTATATACACCCTTGCTAGGGTTTCGTGGAGACTTGATTCTCTTGTAAGCCGCCATAGGCGTAAACCCAAAACTCTTGAGATAGTGAGATTGTTGTCTTTGGTGGTGCCGTGGTTTTCCCCTTCACATCGGAGGGTTTTCCACGTTAAATCGTGTGTCTCTCCGTGGCTTGATTCTTTACTTCATATTCCTATACGTCGTTTATAACAAGTGGTACCAGAGCTTTGGTTGCTGTTAGGGTTCATGACGACGTCGATGAAGTTCGATCTTCCGCTGAACTGAACTACGACGCAGCGGTTCTCGCTATAGAAGTCAAGATGCGGGGATTCTGCGCGCACTCATGACTATGATGAGGCGCCGGATAGTTTCGAAAAGAGGAAGGCCGAGTGGACTCGGAAGAGATCCACAAGGATCAGAAGGCGCTCGCCCTAATTCAGTTGCATCTTCATAATGATATTTTGTAGGAGTGTCTAAAAGAAAAAACTGCTGCAGAACTATGGCTGAAACTGGAATCGATCTGTATGTCCAAGGATCTAACCAGTAAGATGCAGATGAAGATGAAGCTGTTCACCCTGAAGATGGAGGAGGATTCAGTGATGAGCCACATCGCTGAATTCAAGAAGATCGTCGCCGACCTAGTGTCGATGGAGGTGAAGTATGATGATGAGGACTTAGGTCTTTTACTGCTATGTTCTTTTGCCAAATTCAGTATGTAAATTTTAAATGACACCATACTTTTGAGCCGTGATGAACTAACCCTAAAGGAAGTTTATGAGGCTCTCGATCTAGGAGAAGATGAGAGGCATGGTGCGCGAGAATGACGGGACGTCGTCCTCCAAGGGCGATGCTTTGCATGTGAGAGGCAGAACTAAAAACAGATCCTCCAATGATGACAATGATGGAAGAAAGAACTACGAAAGGAGAGGCCGTTCAAAGTCCAAGCCGCATGGTAATAAAAAGTTCTGTGTTTATTGCAAGCTGACAAATCATAATGTTGAGGATTGCAGAAAAGTACAGAATAAGGAGAAGAGAAAAAACAAGTCGACTGGTAAGGTCTCTGTTGCTGCTGCTGCGTCTGATGATGATTCTGGAGATTGTCTGGTAGTATTTGCTGGTTGTGTTGCTGGTCATGATGAATGGATTTTCGATTCCGCATGTTCATTTCATATTTGCACTAACAGAAATTGGTTTAGCTCGTATAAGCCTGTGCAGAAAGGGGATGTTGTGCGGATGGGAGATGATAACCCGTGTGACATTGTGGGGATTGGATCAGTTCAGATCAAGACTGATGATGGCATGACACGAACGCTGAAAAACATCAGGTATATACCAGGAATGTCCAGAAATCTTATCTCATTGAGCACGCTTGATGCAGAAGGTTACAAATATTCCGGTTCAGATGGCGTTCTGAAGGTATCAAAAGGTTCTCTTGTTTGCTTGAAAGGTGATCTTAATTCTGCAAAGTTATATGTCCTTAGAGGGTGTACTTTACCTGGTTCTGATTCCGCTGTTGCTGCTGTTACTAATGATGAACCTAGTAAAACTAACCTTTGGCATATGCGTTTGGGACATATGAGTCACCATGGTATGGCAGAATTGATGAAGAGAAACCTGCTGGATGGCTGCACTTCGAGTAAAATAAAGTTTTGTGAGCATTGTATTTTTGGGAAGCATAAAAGGGTACATTTCAACACTTCTGTTCACACCACTAAAGGTACTCTTGATTATGTTCATGCTGATTTATGGGGCCCTTTCCATAAGTCCTCACTTGGTGGTGCTCGTTACATGCTTACAATTATTGATGATTACTCTAGAAGGGTTTGGCTTTATTTTCTGAAACAGAAAGATGATACTTTTGCTGCTTTTAAGGACTGGAAAGTAATGATAGAAAGGCAAACGAAAGGAAGGTAAAATTGCTTCGTCTTGATAATGGTGGAGAATTTTATTAGCGTGAATTTAATGATTATTGCAGATCGGAAGGCATTGTTAGGCATCACACCATACCCCATACTCCACAGCAGAATGGTGTGGCCCGAACGCATGAAACAGAACAATCATGTCCAAGGCCCGTTGCATCTTTGTCTAATGCCGGGATGAGCAAGCATTTTTGGGTGAAGTCGCTAATACCGCACTGTTACTTGATAAACAGTGCCTTCTATTCCACTAAATAAAAGAACTCCCATTGAGGTATGGTCAATGCGCTTGGCGATTATTCACAGTTGAAAGTTTTTGGATGCACCTTGCTTATGCTCATGTTGATAATGGAAAATTAGAGCCTAGAGTCATTAAGTGTCTTTTCCTTGGTTATAGTTCGGGAGTCAAAGGCTATAAATTGTGGAATCTGAAATAGGAAAGACTTTATAAGCGAAGTGTTGTTTTCAATGAATCGTGATGTTTACTGACAGTTTGCCCTTAGATCATGTTCCGGAAAAAGAGCTGCGGCGTATGCGCATGCAGTGTGGAGCATGTTGATGATGATACATGTGTGCAGTGGAGCTGTTGTTGAGCATGGTGACCATGATAATGATGTTGCTGAGGATGATGCTCATGATGATGTTGAAAGAAACTCCTCCTATTTTGCGATTAGAGGAGGATTTACCTATTGCTCAACGCAAGTCAAAAGGACAATTGCACCTCCTAAGCGTCTTATTGAAGAGTGTAATTTGTCTTACTATGCTTTGAGTTGTCTTGAACAGGTGGAGAATGTTCATGAGCCAAACAACCTATAAAGAAGCTATTCGTTGTGGTGATCTTGAGAATTAGATTTACTGCTATGCATGAGGAGATGCGCCTCTTGAGAAGAACGATTACATGGGAGATTGTACTGCTGTTGCCTAAGAATAAGAAGACCATCAGCCTGCAAATGGATCTTCAAGAGAAAGGAGGTTTATCTCCAAGCGAGCCTCCAAAGTATAAGGCAAGGTTAGTTGCTAAAGGCTACATCAAATTCAGGTGTTGACTACAATGATGTGTTCTCTCCGTGGTAAAACACAGTTCAATTCGTACTTTCCTTAGTATTGTTGCTTCACATGATCTTGAGCTTGAGCGAGTTAGATGTGAAGACTGCGTTTTTTGCATTGAGAGCTTGAGGAGGACATATACATGGACCAACGAGAAAGGGTTCATAGTGCACAGCAAGGAAAAATATGTGTGTAAGTTGAAGAGATCCTTGTATGGTTTGAAACAGTCCCCTCGTCGATGGAACAAGAGGTTTGATTCATTTATGTTAGCACACAGCTTTTAAAGATCTAAGTATGATAGTCGTGTTTACATCAAGCATGTTAATGGATCACCTATATATTTCTTTGTTATATGTTGATGATATCTTTGATTGTCGCCAAGAGTAAGATTGAAATCATTAAGTTAAAGAAGCTATTGAGTAGTGGTTTTGATATGAAAGATCTTGGTAGTGCTAAGAAAATTCTTGGTATGGAAATTAGTAGAGATAGAAAATCTGGTTTGCTATTTCTTAGTCAACAAAATTATATCAAGAAAGTTCTTCAGCGTTTCAACATACAAAATGCTAAGGTCATTTAGTACCCTATTGCACCTCACTTTAAGTTGTCACCGCTCAGTTGTCCTAAATACAGATGCAGAGATTGAATACATGTCAAGAGTTCCTTATTCTAGTGTGTTGGGTCTTTGATGTATGCCATGGTTTGCTCTCGTCCAGATTTGTCATATGCTATGAGTCTTGTTAGTAGATATATGTCTAATCCTGGCAAAGAACATTGGAAGGCAGTTCAGTGGATTTTCAGGTACCTCAGAGGCACAGCAGATTCCTGTTTAAAGTTTGGAAGAACTGATAAGGGTCTTATTGGCTATGTGGATTCTGATTATCTTCACTGATCTGAGACAGGCGAAAGATCACTTACAGGTTATATGTTTACTGTTGGCGGTTGTCTTTGTGAGTTGGAGGCTACTTTACGATCGAGTTGTTGCTTTGTCTACTACTCAAGCGCGAATATATGGCTATTTGTGAAGCGTGCAAAGAATTAATTTGGCTGAAAAGGTTTGTACCGAGCTTTGTGGAGTTAAATCTTGCATAAGTTTGCACTGTGATGTGATCAAAGTGCAATTTACCTCACTAAAAGATTAGATGTTCCATGAGAGAACTAAGCACATAGATATCAAGTATCATTTTGTGCGTGATGTGATTGAAGAAGGTAAGCTGAAGGTATGCAAGATTAGTACTCATGATAATCCTACCGATATGATGACAAAGCTGTTTCACATTGCTAAGTTTGAGCTGTGCTCAAGCTTAGTTGGTTTAATTGGATAGTCCAAGAGACTATTGTTGGCACCAAAGTGGTTTTCTATCTTTGTTATGTTCAGGAAGAAGGGTTGATTTATGATACAAGATGAATTTGTCTCAAGGTGGAGTTTGTTGGAGTTGTTCCAAATTCACTCCGGGATATAGGCCGGGCTTCCTACGCCAGGAGGACGGACGAGGCCCGTCGCCGGAGGCTTGGGCCGGAGCGTAGCCCCCCGCGGTACGGTACGGTATATACACCCTTGCTAGGGTTTCGTGGAGACTTGATTCTCTTGTAAGCCGCCATAGGCGTGTAACCCAAAACTCTTGAGATAGTGAGATTGTTGCTTTGGCTGGTGCCCGTGGTTTTCCCCTTCACATCGGAGGGTTTTCCACGTTAAATCGTGTCTCTCCTCTGTGGCTTGATTCTTTACTTCATATTCCTATACGTCGTTTATAACAAATGAATCAAGTAATTACATTACCTGCCTCAGCATTCACCACTCCTCCTCATCCCCATTGGTATGGCAGAGAGCAGGAACAATGGCAGGTGAGCATAGCGGTGGCCTGGCATCCTCTTCCTCCTCGCCTGCTGCTGCTTGTGGACCTCTGCCAACACATCCTTTCCCTAGTTAACTCCAAATGCTAAATTGATTTTCAAACACGGAGAAAAACATGGTTCATTTCTAAACACTGTTTTTAATGATGGTTTGCATAACTCACGGTTGACGATTTCACATACAATATGTTCAAAGGTCCAGCAAGGCCAGCCTACTTTGTACCATGGATTCTGTGTACTATATATTTCAGGCCATATCTAATTAAATTGAAGCATATGTTCTGCAGGAGCAGCAATGCCAGAAATATTGATGCATGATTGATCGATGCCTCAGCAGCAGATGACTGCATGCAGAAATCATCACAGTTTTATTTTTTGAGGTGAATCGTCATCAACTCATTGCATATATACATCTCTCCTTGCTACTCCACAAGCAATATATCATGCATCAGTTAAATACCATCCATGCTTCGACTCATGGAGGTCGTTACAGCTCTTCCAAGTGAAGTGAAATGCATGTTGTTACATCTCACTCAAATTCTATGAGACATTGGAGGCAAACAAACTGTACCGATAGCAAGGGCCCTACTGACAGTAAAACGATTAGGTGAAAAACAATAATGAACAGATTCTTACAAAATTCACAACACAAGATTACAGGAGTTCCTCCAGCCGAGGCTCGCATCCAACCAGCAATTTCATCACCAACTCTATGATGCCTACCTAGGAAGTAGGAAGACGGCATGACATTTCCTAGGCTGGACTTATTTTGCCAAAGTAGTTGGAGTCGAGAGGACTCTCTTAATTAGGCTGCAATGCTGAGCATTGTGCATGGCTTCTTCTATCACTTCATGTGCTTCTTTGTGATATGCCTATGTGTACCAAGCATGCACACATATAGTGTGCCTACTATATATTTCTGGTCTTGTCTTAACTTAAAGCATATGTTCTGCTTGAGCAGATATGCCAAAAATAGTTGGTGCATGATTGATTGATCGATGGCTAAGCAGCTGGTGACTGCATGCCCAAATTATGACATTTTGTGAGGATCGTCATGAACTCATTATTACTGCATATATCTCTCGCTTGCTACTCCACCAGGGATCCATCAAGCTGTTAAATACCATGCATGCATCGACGCATGGAGGTTGTCGCGTCTCCTAAGTGAAGTGAAATGCTGGTTGTTACAACCTTTCAAGTTCTATGAGACATTGAGTCAAACAAACCGTAGATAGCAGTGGCCCCACCTACTCTAAAACATTTAGGCTAAAAAACAGCTCCACCTACGAAATAAAAAAAGGAAGACGGCAATGACCTTTCTTGGTTCAGTTTGGGATGGACTTTTTTCAGCAACTAGTTGGAGCATAGCTAGATATTGAGGGTTTGGTTGTGGGACTCTCTTGGGCTGCAATACTGAGCCTTGGGCTGCATCTCCTATCGCTTCATGGGCTTCTTTGTGATCTGCCTCTATCTGCTGCCCATCAATGCAACTGCACGTGCATGATCACGTTCAGTTGCTTCTTGGTCATCAGCTTGTTGTTCCACTTCGTGACATCGCCTGCTTCTTCAAAATCATCTTACCTAAGGCATTGCTGCTAGAAACTGCCATTTCAGTGTTGATTTGAAAAGTTTTTGTTTGAAATTGTTTAGGGTCCCAAACTATTGTTTTATGTTCATGAATTTTGAAAATTGAAATTTTTAAATAGCGTCGGGATGTTGACATAGTCCATAGCAAAGTTGTAGTTCTTAATACAATCCAGAACTTTGTAGTTGAAAAGTTTTTGGTTTGAAGTTATTTATAGTCCCAAATATGTGTTTTATTAAGTTCATAGTTTTCAAAATTCAAAATTTAGAATTTCTAAATGGCCTTGAATATTGTTCATATAGTTAGCACCAAAGATGTAGTAGCCAACCTAATCTACATGTTTGTTGTTGATAAATTTGATTTGATGTTTTTTTATTGTCTCAAATATTTGTATTATATTCACGTATTTTAAAATTCAAAATTTTGAATTTTTCAAAGAATCTTGGATGGAACACTTCCCTATACAAAAGTTGTATTGCTTGGCAAGATTTCAAACTTTATAGCTGAACTTTTCATCTGGGTTTATTTAGTATCTATAATTTTTAATACAAGATTACGAAATATTTGTAAAAAAGATAGAATTATGTATATGCTCACAAGTGATTATGTCTAGTGGTAAGGAGTTGTTATTGCTGAGTTGTAGGCCGTGGGTTTGAGTTCTAAGATTTTTTTGTCTTTTGAGTTTTCTAGAAACCGTTAATCCATTTTGGAGGCATGCATCTTAAGGTGTTCACCCCTAAAAACCGATTTTCACAGGCGGGCATGCCGACCACTGCCTCTGTAAATGCTCATTTACAGAGTGACCTTTAGTTAGAGGCGGACGGCTTGCCTGCCTCTTAAAATAAAAAATATTGCTGCGCCTCTGAAAATATTTTTGATACTAGTGTAAAATACTTGCTAGACCAATAGCTTTAGGTGGTGAGATTTGGGGTCCATTTATGATATTTTTGTGTGGTTAATGTTGTAAAATTTCAGACATAATTGACGTTCTTACAACATATTTAAATAAAATAAAATTTTCCAAACTCGGAGAAATGCCTATATAAATGTGATACAAAAGCTGAAGGCCATTTCGCTTGTATAAAAGAAATATAGTTACTCGGCTCATATCAACATTAAACTTGTCAAGCATACGAAGGCCTATGAAAAACATACACATTTATTTATTATGAAAATATTATTGATTAAAAATGTTAAAATAAAATGAATCGTTGGGGTAGACCTTCGATGCACCCAAAATTAGTTTAGGTGGTTTCCATGTATATACACGAATATAGTGTCCTTATATATTTAATATACCGAGGTGGCAACATTGAAGCATGGAGAGATAATTTTGGAGGTTGTTTGCAAAGAGGTACGCATATATAAAACTTTCATAACAATTAATGTACTACAAAATTGTATAAAGACCCCTAAATACATAATATCATTGGACCACCATGAACAGTCTAGAGTCCATTGTGGCTATTCTAAATTGCCAGGTCAGTGGGTCGATTGAATAATGCCAACAGGCTAGCTAATTAGGTAGAATAACCTTACCTGAAACAAAGACTAATGCAGCAGGCGAATCCGTCGTCGAATCATACACCCGGCCTTGTGATGCCTAGAGGCTCATCCTGAATCAAGGCCCGATGCCGCCCATGTGGCACTCTCTAGCTGAGCTTGTCGTGTCGATCAGGCCGATGCTTGTGGCCTGATCCGCTTGGTCACGCCATTGCTGATGTTGTTTTCCTTCCTTACTTCCCTCCATACATTTTTTCCTTCTAGAACAAAATGTATGCCTGATACCAAACACAGGCCCGGTCCAGGAAAATGGATCTGAGCGAGGCTCAGCCCAAAGGAGACAGAGGATGCATCATGTGTGTAGTGCGCGCTGAAGCTATAGGCATGATATGTATTTGCCATGCACCTCTCGTAGTGTGTGACTAGTTTTTTAACGATTTTTAGGTGTCTCACTCATATGGCAAATCATCACAGTTTTGTGATTGGGTATGATTCATGCATCATATTTCTTCAACAGACCACCTTAAATACCATCGTCATCTCATCTCTCTTCCATCTCTCGAGTGCAGTATGGGCATGTTTGGTTAGAAGCTGGAGAACTTGCACAGTAAAAAGTGATGTGCAGAGTTGCACAGGAAAGTTGATGGTTTTTGTCCTAACGAGGCAATTTTGAAGAAAAAAGCCGTTTGGTTGGAGGCATGTCTGCTGAGAATGTTAATAAGAGGAGATATTCATAATATCAATGTGTTAACTAATGTTTGTGATATATAATTAGCATATAGCTTTTGCAGTTTACTAAAAAATATATTTGTATAAATATAGAATTATTTATAAATCTAAAAATGTTATTTTAATTAGATTTATTTTAGATTATTAAGCTAATAAAATAGAAATAAATATGTATTTATATTAAATTAATCCATAATGGTACACTTGACTTAATAAAATAG